ACCATGCCCTTCTCCCTCTCCTTCCCTCAGGCTCCTTTTCTTTTCATGTTTTTCCTCCTAAGATCCAAGGCCCCCTTTTTATTGCCTCTGTAACTTGTTTCCTGAGTCCAAACAGCCAGCTGTCTCACTTCTTCCACAGCTCACTTCTACTCCTGTGACTTTCTAAATAAACTTCCACTTGTATTTGAGTTTCTTCACTCTGAATTCTTTCCTTAGCCAAACTCAAGGACCTAACATCTGGTGCTGTTTGCTGTTAACACTATGACCATTCTAGGTTGTGTTTTCTGGAAACTCAATTTATGAATTTGTTCAGATCTTTACTTAGTACTAGAATGACTTAGTATATAGGACATATATAGGTTTAGCTGTAATAGTTTTTGAAAGTGGTTGTGCCATTCTCCAGACTTTCTACGGCTTCATATCTAATCTAATAAAAGACAAACATGCAAATTGACCGTACCTTCGCTATACCTTAAGCCATGCCCACCAGCCAATCAGAGCAACTATATGCAAATTAACCCAACCAAGATGGCGGCCGGCAGCCACGGAGCTGGAGCAAGCAGGAAGCTTCGTTGCTCCAGTGATGGAGGAAGCCAAGCTTCCCGGCTGGCTCTGAGCTCCACTGAAGGCAGCAAAGTTTCAATTATAGCCGGTAAATAAACCCCAGAATAAAAAAAAAGAAAGAAAAAAGGAGAGGCTGGGAGCTTCTGTCGCCGGGGGGGTTGGCCAGCCTGAAAATGGCCCTCAGCCCCTCACCTAGACTGGCCAGGCACCCCAGTAAGGACCCCCCATCCTAAAGGGGGTGCAGCCAGCCTGAAAACAGCCATCAGCACCTCACCCAGGCTGGCCAAACCTCCATGGGGTGAGGGTCCCCACTGGGGGGGGGAGGGGCTTGACCAGCCTACAAACAGCCATCAGCCCCTCACCCAGACTGGACAGGCACCCCAGAGGGGACCCCCAGCCTGAAGGGGGTGTGACCAGCTGCAAACAATCATCAGCCCCTCACCCAGGCTGGCAAGGCACCCCAGTGGGGACCTTCACCCTGAAGGGGGTGTGACCAGCCTGCAAACAGCCATCAGCCCCTCACCCAGGCTGGCCAGGCACCCAAGCAGGACCCCCACCCTGATCCAGGACACCCTTCAGGGCAAACCAGCCAGCCCCCACCCATGCACCAGGTCTCTATCCTATATAATAAAAGGGTAATATGCAAACTGACCCTAACAGCAGAAGGACTGGGAATGACTGGTCACTATGACACACACTGTCCACCAGGGGGCAGACGCTCAATGCAGGAGCTGCCCCCTGGTGGTCAGTTTGCTCCCACATGGGAGAGCTCTGCTCAGCCACAAGCCAGGCTGATGGCTGCCAGTACAGCGGTGGTGGTGGGAGCCTCTCCTGCCTCCTCAGCAGTAGTAAGGATGTCCGACTGCAGCTTAGGCCTGCCCCCCCACTGGCAAGTGGACATCCTCCAAGGGCTCCCGGGCTGCCAGAGTGATGTCTGACTGCCAGCTTAGGCCCAATGCCCCAGAGAGTGGGCCTAAACCAGCAGGTGGTCATACCCCAAGGGGTCCCAGACTGTGAGAGGGCACAGGCCAGGCTGAGGGACAACCCCCCCCTCTTCCCCCGCCCAGTGCACAAATTTTTGTGCACCAGGGCTCTAGTTCATTGATAAAAGCCTAAACAGCAAAATATTTTCAAATGAAGCAGACCTATAACTCATATCTTCTGATTCCAAGTCCAGTGCTTTCTGCATTCAGTAAAATTTAAGCCCTTTTAAACACTACTTTTTCTCTCGCCAATACTTTTCTGCCTTCTTCCTTTAATGCCACTCAGGTGAATGGACAGCTAGTCATTCATAGGTTATTCTCCCCGGGTATTTTTGCCTCAAAGAGGGTCAGTGAAGACGTCAAATAATAACTCTAATTGTGGTACTTTCAGTTTCCATAAAAGTTCAGTCCATAGGACAGAATAGGAAAGAGGAAAGAGATCATTTCAGTCACAGGGAACTATTCAGTAAAATCACTGAAATCCCAAATGACTGCCGATTAAATGGAAGGATGCCCAATGAAACAAAATAGGAAAGAGAAAGCTCTTCTTTTATCATATGAGCTTCAGGGCAAACACTTTGAAAAGCTATTAAACCCTTGCTTCTTCAAAGTGATACTAAGAAACCAAAAGGAAGCCTATAGGTCAAGTTGACCCACAACCTGCTGTGTCTCTACCCAGGAGACCAGGAGCAAGACTTTGCTGTTGGTTTCTTGAAGATGGCCTGTAGCTGAGTCCAGTGCATGAAGAAACTGAGCAGAAAAGATTGAGAAAGATGACAATAGAAATCAAGCTCCAGCTCCTGCCCACTCAGGTGTGCATCTGTTCCCTGATTGTGTTATAATTAAAGAGAATGGTTTTAACATATTCAGATATTTTCCGTTTAGCCTGGTCTGACGCCTGAATTTTCATGCAGTTGAAGTTAAGGGTACTAGCTAATTGTGAATCACTCCAATACTTGAATAGAAGGCCGCTGGAGCCTAATGTGCAAATTTATGTAAAAACAATGTGAAAATTAGAACTGCATTGGCACATTTTTTTAAGCAGAACTGTAGCACTTTGTCTAGTCAAACAGACTGCTCATTTGCAAGTTGTCTATATGCAAAGCATTCTGCCCCTGGGAGCCTCAAATCTCCTTAGCAAGTCTTCTGAAATTTGAGAGCTTTGTTCTTAACCTGCTTTCTCTTCTCTGCTGCCAGCCTTGTGGACAAAAGGCTAAGTACAGATTTCACCTGGCAACCCCAAGCATGGCCAGAGCCTGAAGCCCACCCTGGGAAAAATTTGAATTGCTCCCTCCAACCTACACGACTCAAATTTCCCTTTGCAAACCGGACCTGGCATGTTTGTGGGTAGGTCCTGGGCCAGCTTTGGACTCTCAGTAATGTTTGAGGTTAGAGCGGGGCAGCTGCTTTGAAAGCTGATCAACCCTATACATGTATCAGGCTCTGGATTCTGCAGTTTTTCCATTCAACCTCCTCTACGCTTTGGGGGAAAAAAGCCAGCACCTACAGATACCCAGGTGAAGCAGCAGGGGGCGCTTTTGGCTCATTGACCCCAGGCCCACTGGCACCTGAGCCAAGAAGTGAGCCAGAGGTCAGTCCCAGGAGATTCTGGGAGGGGGCCAGCAGGACAGGGCCAAGTCATTCCACACCCAAAAGTGGGAGGGGAACCCTTCTGGGAATTACCTAGCTAATCATATAGCTGTGGGAGTGGAAAGGGTGATGCGAGAGACAGGAGGATCCTCCAGGAACTGGCAGCCAGCCAGGCAGAGCTAATGGCAGCCCACCCACACAAGATAAGGCAGGCGGTAGAGTCTGACAGCTGAGAAAGAGCACTCCTGGGACAGAAACTGCACCAACAGTGAGTGTCAATCACTGTCACCTCTAAGAGAACGGATGGTTCAGGGTTTTCCCAGCAGCTCAATCCCACATTAGAGGGACATCATCCCTGGGCCCCCAGCAGCTGGGACATTTGACTCCACCCATGCCTCTGCTTGGCGGCCCACTCCGCTGCCTACAGCTCATGCCTACTCCAGTTGTGCAGAAGGTTAATTTTCTGTGTTAAATTGTTCTGTAAATGCTGCTTTCACTTGTGACCAGTAAATTCAGTTGCCACCAGCTTGGATAGTTGTCATCACCTTGACATCGGTATTCTAAAGCCTTGATACTCAAAGTGTGGTCCCTAGATTAGCATTATCACCCTCAACTCTGAGCTTGTCAGAAATGCAGACATCTGGGGCCCACCCCAGACCTCCAGCATCAGAATCTGCATTTTAACAAGACCCCCAGGGGATTTGTGTGCACAGAGTTTTGGGAAACTCTATTCTAAGGTATTTCTCTAAATCTCCACTAAGCCAAACTGAGTTTCAGCATTTCCAGTTATCAGCTGGGTAATCATGAGTAAAAGAATATATTTCTTCAACCCTTAAGTCCTCATCTGTAAAAGAAGGATGCTAATCCTACTAAATTTAAGATGATTCAATCGACTAATAAATTGGAATTTTTCCTATAAATTGTGAATCATGATTAAAATATTGTTTTATTCTTATGTTGCATCCTCACTAACTGATTATACCATAAACACCTAAGAACAGAAACTCCTCCTCTATCTCTTTTTTATCTTCTTTATACACCAAATGCAGTGTTCTGCCCATAATGAGGTAGACTATTTGACATTTACAAAAATCAACTTCCCTTGGAATCTCCAACTGCCTCCCCTCTTCAAAAAACAATTCTAATTTCAATTCCCGACTCCAAGCACTAAGAGCTCCTGTCACTTTGACCTAATCCTCTGAGGTTCATCCCTCTAAATAATTGTGTTGTCACTATCTCTAAAGCACTTTGTTACTATGGCAATGCATACATAATTGGGTGTGTGAGTAATTGAAGGCGGCTCTCCTGGTCAGCTGCCCTCCCACCAGACAATACAGAAAACATTCCTCCCACATGCTACTCTCCCTTAGGTTTGCATCAAGGCCCTGAAAGTTTCTTGACCTTACATATTCTTCATGAACACTACAGACCAGTAGGAGCAGACATTGATATACTAAGAAAACTATTGGGGGAGGAAGTTGTAGGTCTCAAGTTTCCGTTCAGGGTCTGACACTGACGCTATTTTGTAATTTAACTTGGCACAGGGTGCTGGACGTTTTAGGATCCACCGCCCACCCCCTTTCCTAAAAGGAAATGAGTGGATAACATGCCTTCCCATGGCTTAACCCCTCCAATGTTCTGTAATATCCGAGTGTCACATAACTGAAATTATTTAACAAACCTTCCCAGCATTAAACATTAACACAGCTCTTTTTATATGGCACGGTTCATTACCATGCCGATAAATGATTAATTATAATTCTCTGTCTGGGCCAATAATTTGGCAGGACTTTTATGATTCATAATATGTGCTGTGTTGTAATGTTACCTCTCGAAACTGACATACTGGCATTTATTGTTTTTTATTGCCTCTCTGAGGTGGCTTTAGAAAGAGACACCAAATGACACGTTTAGAAAGGGTTTAAAAGTTTGACGTGCTTGCAGTAGGCACTACTTACCCAGCGAGGAGCAGAGGATTGGTGTTTCTGTGGATGTCTGTGACCATTTGAGCCAAAACCCAGCGATGAATAATTCAACGAGATGTTTGGCCACAGCAACAGTTTGCAACGGTTCGTCCTGTGTGGTACCTGCCAGCAATTTCAATGCCATTCTAAGTGTGGTCCTGAGCACCGTCTTGACCATCCTATTGGCTATGGTGATGTTCTCCATGGGATGCAATGTAGACATCAAGAAATTCCTGGGGCACATAAGGCGGCCGTGGGGCATATGTATTGGCTTCCTCTGTCAGTTTGGAATCATGCCCCTCGTGGGATTCATCCTGTCGGTGGCCTTTGACATCCTCCCCATCCAGGCCGTAGTGGTGCTGATCATGGGATGCTGCCCCGGAGGAACTGCTTCCAATATCTTGGCCTATTGGGTCGATGGCGACATGGACCTGAGGTAAGCTATCTAAACCTCCACCTACTGCAGTCACATTGAATTAGTCTTTCAGGAACCTATGGCAGCGTGAGTATCCATCTGTTCTGCCACTAAATTAAGGCGCAACTGGGGGAATTAACAGAAGAGAATAAATGCATGTATTCACCTTCCTGAACAGCTGAGATTACATATTGTACTTTATGGGTTACATTTTCTGTTTTGTTTTTTCAATCTAACTCAGTTAACAAGGCATTGGATAATTGATGTTTATCTTTGGGAAAGATTCAAAGTTTTTCAAGAAAAGAAATCTTTTCCAAGCCCTACAAGCGGCAGCTAAGAATGTTTTCCTTGTCAGTATCAAAAAGGAAAATGACAAAAACCATCTTTATTTGTGGCAATGAGGAGCTCTAGGTGTGACTGTGAAATCAGATTGTTCATTAAACATTAGGACCTATGATGAGACAATAGTTAACTCCACCAAACACAGCTAGTTCTTTGGACAAGCTTTTTCTTCATATAAAGACCAAGAAATAGTTTGTACATTTGTTTTACTTCTACTGGTAGTTTAAAAAACCTACAACAGCTTCTTTTTTTAAATATTATGCTTACCTTACTATAAAATAAAAAGAAAATGGTCTCTCTGCTTCCCAGAGAGTAATCTACATTGCAATGTTTTCCCAATTCATCCTGCACTAGTCTGAACTAGCACTAGGGAAAAAAAACTAATAGAAATAAGATGAAGCATTAATGTGATGAGACTGAAAATCTTAATGCTACAAGTCGAATAGGCAAATGTCTTTTTCCTTACCTCACAATCCCTTATTTCCTGTGAAAGGTATGCATTTCTGCAAACCAGCCAGGTGTTAACGTAATGTGTGCTTATTAAACACTGTACACTAGCAATCAGCTCTGGTAATCACCACATACCATACTCAGAAGAGAGAAGCTCAAGGTGTAGAAATGCAAAATGTAAAACAATTCCAGATTGATCCAGTGTCTAGTGAGCAACTGGGAACAGCCATCACATCTCAGCTAGAGCTAATTTTGCCATGAGCTTTAGAGAAACCATTATATACCAAATTATATACCTTCACAATACATATTCTTCACACAAGGAAATACTGTATCTTCCCTGCAATAGAGTTTTATTAAGGAAAGCCCTGTAAAAAACAAAGGATGGCAAGTGCTGTTCCACCATATAGCAATAAGGTTTTTTAGACTTCAGTTTGATCTGACCTGGACATAGGCAAATAGGTGAGAATTCCAAAAGGCAGTTGATGCAAGTGAACTAAATTGAATATGGGCTTTGACGTCCACTAAACAGCTTTGACATAAAGTTGCTGGCCCTTGAAGAACAGAGGTTTGAACTGTGCAGATCCACTTGCACGTGGATTCTTTTCAGTAAATACTGTAAATGTATTTTCTCTCTTTTATTATTTTCTTAGTAACATTTTCCTTTAGCTTACTTTATTGTAAAAATACACTATTATACATATAACAGACAAAATATGTGTTAATTGACTGTTTTTGCTATCAGTGAGGCTTCGGGTCAACAGTGTAGTTAGCTTGTGTCTATTGGAAGTTAAGTTTTTTTGTAAGTCAAAAGCTATTAGTGGATTTTCTGCTGTTTCAGTGCCCCTAAAACTAGCAGTTGTTCAAGGGTCAGTATATTTATAACTTTTTAACAAAATAGAAGAGTCTTTTACCTCAACATAATTCCACACAGGTGATCATTTTGTAAGATAGGTAGTCTCTTCTACTGGCTAAAACTATAAGACCCTAAACTAAAAACTCCAAGTTACACTTTTCTGTGATTTAAGGAAATCTTATTTCTCTTGATACAGGAGATGACTTATAATCTAGTCTACACTGCATAACAATTCCAATAAGAAGCAATAATATTAAGAAATAAGAACCAAGAGCAGAATTTGAAACCTTATCCTTCAGCAAGTTAGCATAATCTTTAAAGTGAGAGGGATGGCACTGAAAATTTTCATTTTCATTCTAGAAAGTGTGCACTCCACAGATCCCCCCTCCCCATCTTCAAAATAATACCAACACTTCTCCAGTCCCATAGCAACCTCTCTAGCAATTTCACCCGTATAGAACGCAAGCAAGACCCAGTAAAAAATTTTGCACACCCAAAACAAATCCCACTTAATCTCATAAACATTTCTCACACAGAACCTACTTCCTCTCCTAACACTCCAGCGTGCTATTTCCAAGCCCAGAAGATGAGAAACAAGATGTAGGGAGGGGGGCATAGACTGGCAGGCCTGAATCCCACAGCAGCAGGTGGCCCGGAAAGTTTGACCTCAAGAGAAAAAACCAGCATGCCTCCAGAGGAAAGAGGATACCTCACTATGCACAGCAGCCTCTGCATGGCTTATTTTAGAGACAAACACAATCACATACAAGACATGCATTTTAGCGGAGCACAAATGTTCCTCACTATGACCCATTATCATTACAAGAAGGTATGTTGCTATGTAAGATGATGACATTATACATTGCATATGTTAGGGGAACACTGTTCAAATGTTTCTTTAAAGTCAATTAAGAGAATGATAGTCCGCGATTGGGAAACAGTTTTCCAGCACTTTTCATTCTTCTGAAGTGAGCACTGGGTCACTAAAGTCTTCTGATAATTCATTTAGATACAATCCTATCTACCATTTATATTTCTAATTCTGTTCTCTTGGAACTTTACCAACTCCATTTCCACCTGAACTCTAGCAAGGGCAGCCATATGAGTGTTTACACCAACAGGTCTCTGCACTGGTTGGACAGATACCACACAGTCCAGCAAAACACCCCCACCTGGCTTTCCCTTTCCTGGATGTGGTTGCCTGGAGGAAAAACCAGATCTTTCCCACACCCTATCATCTCTTCCAAACCTGGGCGACCGTTGTATTTTGAAATTTCTAGTGACAAAAATAAGGAAAGAAAAACAACACACAACAACCACAAAATACACACATACACAAAATATCAAAAATAACAGACTTTGCTCATTATATCCTTGCTCATTGAAGTATAGCAAGCGATATTTCATCTCCTTCTCTGACTCCTTCTCCAGCCTTGAAAGTTGTGGGAATCTGATCAGTGCACAGGTATTTTCACCTGTTCTACCTGTCCAGTGGGTGTATTATGCACAAATAGTTTCAGGGAGAAATAAAGGTGACATTTCAGGTGTATCTGCTGAGTCCCAGGCCCACAGTTCAAGGGCCACCAAGACATCCCACCTTCTGTGTCTGCTCTATCCTCAGAGAGTCCCCACTTTCAAATCTCTCCTTTCTTAGCAATGGTCTCACTACACCATGCAAGGACTTTCCCTTATCACTTTCCTTTCATATCCTTTCTTCAGTTTCCCCCAATTTTCAGCTGCCATGTACTTTCTACACTCCTTTTTATTATTTCCTAGATTTTAGTTTCTAGATTTTCCTACCACATCCTTGGTTTTATGGCCAAATATTGTTCCATTGTTCATCTTTCTCCTATTGTAGTTGTTCAAGATCCCTTTCCCTTCAGTTTATCATAAATTTAACTCCCATTTCAACTGCATAAATGTCCAGCTCCTAAGAACTAATCCAACACTGTTTCTTTTTTCCTTTATTTTTCCTCAAAGTAACCAAGCTTTGTTCCTCTCATTTAGCATCTAATTCTATTTTACTAGCTAATATTTGCTAGGCACATGCAGCATACGTACTCTACATACATTGTTGTATTTAATCCTCAAAATATTCCTCTGAGGTCAGTACTACTATCTTCTGCATGTGATAGATGACAAAATTAAGGCTCATACCTTTGATCAAGGTCACAGAGTCAGTGCATGTCAGAGTCAAAATTTTAATCCAGACCTGTCCACTTACCCCTGTCCAGATTCTTATCCTTTGCTCGACATTATTTCTATAACTTACGACATCTCCATTTTCTAGCACTACCTATACACACACTCTTTGATCTTTAAAACTTGGTGTTTTACTTCTAATATGATTAAAATATTTTGCATTCTAATCACTGACTTCACCAAATTCCTCAACATTCACTGAATTCTCATTTATTGCTCTTATTTGCAATAATAATAATAATAATAATAATAATAATAATTCTCCCTGGTGGTGAATAGAGCTAAAGCCACGAATTAAAGACAAGCAATTTTTTTTTCTTACATTTTCTCTCATTCCAACATAAGTTCATGGTATTATTTCTATTGTTGACAACTATGCTCTTTATAGGACTTCACATATTTTTCTTATGAAATGATATTTTTCTTTTACTAATGAATTCCCCCTATATTGCTTCTTTCACCTCATTTTGAGTGGTTTGATGGTGTTCTCATATGAGTTCAAATGGTATCGACTTGCAGCTACCTCTTCTCTCGTCTCCTCCCACACCTCACTGCCAAGATGTCCCATGAAAGCTAAACCATGTCCTTTTCCAGCTCCTGTCCTATCCCTCCTGTGGCCTTTAAGAAACTGCTCTCGCCAAACTCACAACCATGATACAACTTCATATGTTGTCTTAGGAAAAACTTAGAACTAAAGCTTTCACAGGGAAATTTAAAAGAAAAACAAGGAGAGAAACAAACTTCCTTCTAAAAGTCATTCTCTGTTTAAAACAAAAACTCCTCAGGCTTCTCTTCACGGTGATCCAGGTAGTGAGCACTGCCCAGCTCCACCTCCACATTTCTGTCCTCTCCTTGAGAGAAAGCACACGGATACACTGGAATCAAAGTTACTTATGGGATAGTCTTAAATCCATTCTAACTGATTTTTAAAAATAGAAGATAAAAAGAGAATGGCATAAAAAGTGAGGAAGGTTGGGAGAGAGGGGAAAATAACAACCCCAGTACTTTAATTCTAAATAGGACAAAGTACAATTTATAACAAATTCAGTTAGTGTGCTGTAGGCCACTGCCTTTGCATCATATTCTGTATCTAAATTAACTTGTCACAATAATCAATTGAACTTCTTAGAAATAGTTCACATATACTCTAGTATTGATTATTGTTGCACTATTTTAGCTCTACTAAGACAAGTATTTTTGCCTAAATTCTTTTTTTAAATAAATCTTTATTGTTGAAAGTATTACATATGTCCCTCTTTTCCTCCATTTCCCTCTTCCCTCTATTTCTCGCCCCCCCCCGTCACCCCAAGTCTTCACCACCCTATTGTCTGTGTCTATGGGTTATGCATATATGCATATGGGTTTATTGGGATTTTCCTAAATTCTTTAAAACACTGTTTAAGTGAGGTCATTCCTGGTCTTTTATTTTTTTTTTTAATGATTATTAAAGAAGTTAAGTACCCTGGTAAATGTTGTCCCCACCCTTTATTTTGCCAAAACTGTGCTAAGTTAGATGCATTGAAACTAAATTCCTCATCTTCAGCTGTTTTCCTTAGCATTGTGTAGGGTGGTTTGTATCTGTTGTTCTTTTGGAGGGGGAGGCAGGTGGTGTAAATAATTTAGCATCTTCCTCCAAGTACACATATATAGTTTTAAGAATTTATTGTTCTGATAGCCTCAATGCTACAATTATTGTAGAAAGAGCCTATCAGAAAAATCTCTCTGATTTTCTGACTTGGAATTATGCTACAACATAGCACACACTATGACTAGATATATAATAACACCATCTAGCTTTTAATGAGCACCTTGCATTATTCTAAGTATTGGATTCACTGGCTCAGTCAATTCTCATAGTCTGTGAGGTGGCAGTGATTAGGATTTTCATTTTACAAAAAGAAAATGGTCAAAGAGAAGTAAATGATCCAAACTCACATAGTAAGTGGCCATGCCTGCTTCTAAACCAGGCAGTGTCTGTCTTTAGTGTCTGGCCCAGCTATTTAAGGCACTGTTCCCTGAGCAAAAAAATGTACCCCTATATACAAGGGCACTTTAATGGGAGCAGGAAGACCCATTCCCCAAAAGCCTCTTTTCCACCAACCGTCACAGTGCTGAAAATTACATCTCTCCACATTAATCCTTCCAGGTCAAAAGCCAAAATCTGCTCACTTAGCCAGTTCCACTCACTCAAACACATGCTGTCAGGAGGAGTGTACCAGGTGCTTGTTCTTCTCAATACACATTTGGTAATTTCTTAGCAGAAATAGAATCCAGGCCTCCCCTGTCTGCTTGTATGTTTCTTTGTTTTGGGGTTTTGTTTTGTTTTGTTTTGTTTTGTTTTGTTTTGTTTTGTTTTGTTTTGTTTGGGGAGGGGGGGTCAGCTTCTCTTCTTTACTCAAGATTTGAGCATTTAGAGCAATAATTTTCTCTAAGGAACTACCTCTCTTGGACATGCATTCTGCCCTAAGGGCCCAGGGAACCCCATCTCATCCCAACACAGACAGACATGGAGGAGCCCCTAATGTCTCTTCCATATAAAAGTGTGTTTGCTGTTCTCTGATTGGAGGTTCAAGGGTGGCATGGCCTAGCACCTTGGATCTTGTTTAATAATGAATTTAATAATGAGTGGCCATTAACTATCTTGTCTGGTTCTTGAGAACCAACAGGGAGGGAGGAATGGCACAAGACAAAGGAGGAAGACACCAATTACGGATCTCACCGTTTTGCCTGAGGCTGAACCCTGCAATTGCTGGGGCGGTGTGTATTTCTCTCCATCAGACTGAATGGTGCGCTGGTTGAGACAATCTTTTGTAGGACTATCTAAGCATGAAACAACCTCTCCCCTGGAAAACTCAGGTGGACATATCAACCTGCCCGTTTCCTTTCAGCGTCAGCATGACCACATGCTCCACGCTGCTGGCCCTGGGAATGATGCCGCTGTGCCTCTTAATCTATACCAAAATGTGGGTCGACTCGGGGACGATCATAATTCCCTATGATAACATAGGTAAGTCATTGCTCTGCAAGATCTCTGAATATTTTTCTCCTCCTTTCTGCTTACCCCTGGCTGGGTTCTCAGGCCAGGCTCAGACCCAGCTGGTGTTTGCCTCTGGCACCAACAGCAGTTTGTGACCATTTAGGATTTCATTGCAAGCCACCCCTGCTTTTGAATTAGAGTGGCAGAATCTAAATTCCAAACCATGGCACCATGGGAGAAACTCGCTTGTTCCTCCATTGAAATCACAGGGAGAGGGGCCAATTTAAAGGGTCCTCTGGCACAGCTGTCTGGGCCTGAGGAGGCCAAGTTGCTATACTTTCCTTAACTCACAACACAACTAGCTCGTGACAAGCGTTTGCTCCCAGACACTTAGACTGAAGAAATACAAAAATCATTCCACCAATGATTTAAAAATAGGGCACCTAGTAAGCAATCACAAGTGTGGCAATAGGAAACTACCAGATAAAACATATTATTTATAACACTTAACTGTGAGCCACATGTTGATTCAAAAGTTGATTTACTGGCACAGTCTGTGTGTCATGCCCCAAGAAGTTAAATCTTCTGTCTCCACTCATTTCAACTCCTAGATATTCACCCTCATCTCAATGGAGCTATTTTTTCTGTTTTGGGGACAATAAATGATGGTGGAAGGCTAAGTTTTTGATGTAACATGGTATCAAGAACAAGATGGTTCCTGGTCCACCAACACGGGGCATTTCCCATAGAACTATCATCATAGAAGATGAGATGTAGGGGAAATAGTACATTGGTATCAGTCACCAGGTACATTGCATGCTAGTCTATTTTCAGCTGACCTTGGAGACAAATGTCTCCCTGATGGGCTGCCTCAAAGAGGTACATAGGTGTCCCATTGAAGGGAGCATGTAAACAAAGGCTAAATAGTGACACACCAGGATGTTTGTAAAAAGGATTCCTATTGGCATGGAAAGCTGGACTGGATGGCACCTAAAATCCCTTCCATTTCTAAGGAAGATTGTTTTCTGTGATAAACCATGATTTAAAGCTCTACACAAGTGATTTGGGATAAATTTTGAAACTATAATTGGGAACAATATGTATTATAATATTTTCAGATAGTCTCTTCTCTCTCCACTTTTACCATGGCCATTAGAAAAGAAAAAGGATTTTTTTATTTTAAAAAGTAGTCCGCCTTGACACACCATGTTCAGTATAGGATTTCCCTACAAGGTCCTTCTAGTGACCCCTTGGGAATTCCTCCATATCAGACATCATATCCTGTTGCAATAGGTTTTAGAATGACCCTCTATAGCCACCTATCTATGCTCATGCTGCTGAGCTCAGCCTGCTCCCTTAGAGTTCACCTTCTTTAAAATTAAAGAATGCAGTTTGCTTGAGTGGTATACATTGTAGGCCTCTCAAAGGGTTTGTCTGTGAAATGAAGAGCTTTAATCCTATAACTCATTATTTAAGAAAAAAATTAAGCTTTAAAATATTTTCTTAGTATGAATTTCCTGGAAAATGCCCTATAGCAGTGATGGCGAATATTTTGAGCTCGGCGAGTCAGCATTTTGAAAAACCCTAGCTTAACTCTGGTGCCATGTCACATATAGAAATTTTTTGATATTTGCAACCATAGTAAAACAAAGACTTATATTTTTGATATTTATTTTATATATTTAAATGCCATTTAACAAAGAAAAATCAACCAAAAAAATGAGTTCGTGTGCCACCTCTGACACGCGTGTCATAGGTTCACCATCACTGCCCTATAGCAATGTGCGTAATTCTAACTATGGTGTGAATGACGTATATCACATCCTTTAATGTGAGTACATTTTGAAAGGAAGAGAAAGTAAGAAAGAGTGAGTAGTTATTTACTTCATCAAAGAAGAAGTAAAATGAAAAAAAAGGAAGAATATAGAAAATAGAAGAAAAAAGAGAAAAAATTTTAAATGAGAGTTTGAAAAGCAGATACTAACTCTGCCTACTCTCCATTCTGCTAAGCCTATTTCCAACCTAACCTTCTTGATATTGGTTTTTCTAATCCTTTAATGTAGAAAACAAACAACCTAATTCCTTCAAAAGATGTTATTGCTACTTTTTAGATGAGGACGTTAAGGTTCATGGTAACTGTTTCATTTGTCCAAGGTGACCAGGGAGCTGGAAATAGCCCCCTGGTCTGCTCTCCACTCTGCTCTGTGGGCAAGGTTGATTCCCACAGGCTCCTTGCAGTGCTCCCTCACGGTGCTCACGATGCTTTGAGGAATTCAATAAGCACCCGCTGAGCCCCTTCAGATGATGACATCTGGGTGGAGGAGGAGGCAGCTCGTACAGCTGATTCCACTGAAAACACACTGCAGTAAAAGTTGTCATTCTACTCCTCTCTCCCCTACATTTGAGAGTATCCAGTACCGTGAACTGTACATCTATTTCACCACCCAATTCTCACAATACAGTGTGAGACAGACAACGTTTTACCCATTTCGCAAACAGGGGAACCACGGTTCGGAGGGCTTATTGATTTTCACAGTTGCCACAATTTGCAAATAAGGCTCACCTCTGAGACTATACGGGTCCAAGTTGCACCACATGCCTCCATCTACCATTCTCTTTTTTCTTTCTACCTCTCCTTCCTCCTGTATCTGCTGTGTAAACTGATTAAAGACCAAGTTATGGTTCTAAGAGGGTAGCTGTAAGCCAATGAATAGACAGACATTTGACAGAAAGCACAAGCATATGAGGAATAAGGAAAATAAACAGAGAATGGGAGAAGAAAATAGAAGGAGCTATAGTACGCTGAGGAGTAAAGAGTTGGGACAACCCACCTCTGCAAGTAGGAGCCACACACTCTCAGTGTGAAAGGCTAAGAGTGCCTTTTCCAATCACCTTCAAATCCTGCAAAAATTTTATCCTGGCTTTGGATGGTCAGGAGAGGAAGTCTGTCTTGGATTTCGGCAGGTGGTCCCAGAGAGATAAAGAGGGCTCAAATACAGGAGTGGGCTGCCTTTGCACAGATCTGACACACGAAATACATTACCAAGACCTAACCACACACATTCTAAGCACAGTATTTGCACCTAGTTTTAAGCTACCACAGTACAAAGAATACATATTAAGATGTTTTAATTCAAGGCCTACAAACTTCACACAATTTAGGGAATAGTCTGGAGACCCAAGACAGGAGAGGAAGGTTCCGCCCAAAATAGCAGGATGAAAGGATCCCTGATGGGGATTTTTCTGAGGGTTCTTACTAGTATAACTATAAATGATCCTTTTTACATATCTATTGTTCCATCATTTTTTCCTTACCCTCCTTGTCATCTTATTTTTTTTGTCCTGCTCTTGGTATCTTTGGCCACCAAAGGCTATAAAAATTATGATTTTATCATTATTATATTCATTTTAAAGTCATATTTACAGACCTGGAATGTAGAATTTGTTTTTCAGTCCTAGTTCAATCTATGTTAGTACTAAGCAACATCTACTTTCAGAATTTCATTATTCAATTCCGCTTTCTCTTACTGATTTAAAAGGATGTTTAAAAAAGAAACAGCCCATGAGAAGTTAGAAATTGTTGATGCTCTATTATATAAAAGCAGCTATTGAATAAATGAGTGTTAAATAATATGGAGAAACAACCACATGTCACGAGAACAGCAGTGAATTTAACACGGTGAATATGAAGTATGACTCTTTTATTTGGCTGGGTGAGCATGTTCCTGCAAAGAATATAATTGTTTGAGAGGTGACCAAATACATTATCTCACAGAAAAGTTAAAGCATGCTTTTCAATCTATTCTCTCACCTCTCGTCTATAGATTTGAATAACCAAAGTCAGCCTTAACCAGAAGTCATTAGCCCACCGAAGGCCTGGAGAAGTTTGAGCTTTTCCTTTTATTTCTACTACCATGAAGGAACAGACAGATATAAAACATGATCTATGTCTCTCTGAGAACACACACACACACACACACACACACACACACACACACACACACACACTGAAAAGGTATTTTCCCAGAATATAAGGATCCAAACATCAAATAAGGCAAGATTCTGACCAACTGAAACCAAAATATAGTGATTGGAAGTATAAGGAACGCTTAAAAATTAACCTGAGATTTAGGGAAAGGATTTATATCAATATTATCCATTCTTTTCAGTAATATTAAATTAGGTACTGATGTGAATAAGGAAGGAGTGTGTGTTTGTTTTTTCTGCTTTGTGTTCTCAAGAAGGAGAGTCATATATTACCCAAGCTTTTTACAGGCTACTTACTCTTTTGTTTTCCTCTTTCCTTGTGCTCTGTCCTGTTGATCAAATTGCTCTTCTGTCATTTTCAGGTACGTCTTTGGTGGCTCTTGTTGTTCCTGTTTCCATTGGAATGTTTGTTAATCACAAATGGCCCCAGAAAGCCAAGATCATACTTAAGGTAAGTGGCCCATGCTATAGGCTGCACAGTCAATTGCTCCACAGTTGAAATGATAGGTCTTTCCAGCTATACAATGGGTTTCTCATTATAGTATAAACCTAATCCTAGAGGGACAAGCATTAACATTATTAGCCATGCAGTCCACTCTTCTAGAATGTCCTTCTCCACTCTATCCATGGGGCAAATTTTTATTCACCCTTTGGAATAATCAACTCAAACATCATCTCTTGGTTTTACTATACTCTGTACTCCCACAGCACTTTGCTCTTATCTCTCTTATGTGGATTTGTTTTATAAAATATATCTATACTGTGGTCTTAAAATATAAATCATATCTTTCTTATCTCTGTATCCATATGGTAGTTTTGTGCCTGGTAATTAGTAGGTGATACTAATTTGTAACCATTCATTTCCCTACACCAACTATATTCTAGCTAGATGATATGGATATGGATAAGATAAAGATGCTATAGATATAGGTATAGATGACATAGATATATAAACATAGATATAGACAAAGCCATAGCCCATTGATCAGAAAGCATAATAAGTTAGTTGGTATTCTTTGCTTCTCTGGTCAAAAAAAGTTCTAAAATCCACTTTTATCAATGTGAAAGGGGAAAAACAATAACAACAGTGGCTTTTGTTTACATATGCCTTTAATTATATGCCTTTAACTTTTATAGAGTTTTATATCCATTTTCTTATTATTGTAACAATAATAAAACGTAATCAGGGCAAAATTTTATCCTCAATTACAGATAAAGAAACTAAGACTCAGAGAGGTTTCATGACTTATCAAAACAATGAGAGCAGGAAGAGTGGACTCTAGAAGCCAAGTCTTCTACTTTTTATTGAGTGTGTTTTCCTCATCTCTGACAGGGATAATTTGCAAGCTAGTACATCTTCCTCAGGCTAACCAAGCATGGACGCTTTATTTTCCAAAAATTTTTATTTTCCAAAAATTAAAATGTGGGACAAGCACCAACATTCTTGGTGGGCTGACCATGGCCATCAGGTGAGGAGACACTGAGAGGTAACTTCATTATCACAGTTGATGGGTCTGTTTGTGTCTTTCTTCCAGATTGGATCCATCACAGGTGCAGTCCTTATCGTGCTCATAGCTGTGGTGGGAGGAATACTGTACCAATCTGCCTGGATCATCGCTCCCAAACTGTGGATTGTAGGAACAATATTTCCTGTGGCCGGTTACTCACTAGGGTTTTTTCTGGCTAGGATAGCTGGTCAGCCCTGGCACAGGTATGGTATTTTGGTAAAGCTAACTGGGGTATTTTTTCTGTAATAGCTTTTGTATTAGTTTGCTAGTGTGGCTATAACTAAGTACCCCAATTAGACTCGATTAAACAACAGAAATGCATTGTCTTACAGTCTGGAGGCTAGAAATAAAAAAAAAAAAAATGTGTGGCAGCCTTAGTTCCTTCTGAGGGATGTGAGGGGGGATCGATCCCAGACATTTTCCTCTTGGCTTGTGGATTGCCATCTTCTCCCGTTTCTCCTCGCATGGTCTTCCTTCAATGCATGTCTCTGTGTCCAAATTTCCCCCTTTCATAAGGACACCAGTCCCATTGGATTAGGGTGCACCCTAATCACCTTATCTTAACTAATTATATCTACAATGACCTGATTTCCAAATAAGGTCACATTTGAGAGAATACAATTCAACCTGTGACAGCTATAAATATGGATGACAAATTCAAAATTTTTCACTTTTAATAACATTTACCCTATTTCTAAATTTTTCATTCTAAATTGATTCATTCATTCCTAAATTATGCAAGTCTCCCAAAAAGAAAATACTGACTGCCTCTCTTTTACTGAAATTCTTCTGGGCCATGCCCTGGACCATGCAGGTTGAGCTCTTCCATTGTCTTGCATCCTTATTCTCCAAGCAAAGCAGACATATATACATATATATGTACTTATTCTCATTATATTTGTTTGTAATGTAATATGACAACAAAGCAAAGCAAAACAGAAGAATAGAAACATATATTCTCCTACCGTTCTTTCAGATGCCGCACAGTTGCTTTGGAAACAGGGATGCAGAACACTCAGCTGTGTTCTACCGTGGTCCAGCTCTCCTTCACCTTTGAGGAGCTCAACCAGGTGTTTACCTTCCCACTCATCTACAGCATCTTCCAGCTCGTCTTTGCAGCAATATTCTTGGGAGGTAAGCAATAATGTTAATCACGTTTCATTCAGATATTCATTAAGAAATCCTGGAGTTACTCATATAGCATTTTTTAAAATAACCTTTTTCTGGCAATGAACTATATAAATTAAATTAAACACCTTCTTTCCTGGTAGTGAAAAAGAGAATGGGTGGGGAAAGCCAGTCATAATATTATCAGGACTTCCCAACTGCTGATGAAATAATTGTAATTTTACCCAAAGGTTCTGGTAAGGATTATTTTGAAGTGTAAAGTAATGGAGATCGATGCTCTCCATTGAGTCTTTTCCTCAGTAGCTAGGGAGGCATGTCAACCTGTTAGAACAATTTTATTGTGTCCCTGTCTACATGCTTCCAGGAACCCTGGACTGGAAGCATGTCTTTATATGCTTTGTAAATATAGGATATTTATCAGAAAAGTTCAGGACCAACCTAAGGAGATATTGATATTGACATAATAAGATCTTTGAAGCAGGACATTGTCTCTCTTAGCTGTGTATCATAACAGTGGTTAATGTTTACTGAGCACTTACTATTCTCCTAGCAGTGGTCGGCATACTGCGGCTCGCGAGCCACATGCGGTTCTTTGGCCCATTGAGTGTGGCTCTTCCACAAAATACCGACTTCTGCACATGGGCCATGAAGTTTCAATCGCACTGTACGTGCATACCCGCACATGGTATTTTGTGGAAGAGCCACACTCAAGGTGCCAAAGAGCCGCATGTAGCTCACAAGCCACAGTTTGCCAGCCACTGTCCTAGGGCCATGGAAGGCACTTTACTATTCTATCCCATTTAATGTTCACAATTGCCCTATCAAGTAGACAATATTGTTATACCACTTATAAGTATGAGGTACTGGAATTTGAAAGTAAATAAAACCTTCTCTTCCCCTGTGAACTTTGAAACCAATTAAGATGTAGAAAAAAATCAGATATTTAGATAATAAAATAGCACTTTTATTACAGATAAAACAATTAGAAAATATGGCTCAAAACTGTGATCAAATGGGCTTGTTTATACTGCCCCTTTCCACTGCCTCACACATGTGCCATAACACACATAAACTGCAGGTGTCCTCTTGCAAGGCAGTCTGTCCAAGTGAAACAGATCTCAAAAATATGCTGAGAAATGGCTATCACCAGGGACTAACAGCTCCGTGGAAGATAGGAAGGCTGATCACCAATCAGCCACCCCCTCCTATGGGAAGGAATGAATGAAGGCTGGGAGAGATGGAATGTTATTCCAGCTCAAGTCCCACACAAACCATGAGATCAAGGTCTTGGACATTACCCCTTTGCATGTAACATAATTATTGAGGACTAGCACAATAACTGGGAGATGGTAGGTACGGAATCAATGTTTTCTGCTATTGTTGTTGGTGAGTACCACCTTATAAGTCATGAGCAAGTACCCTGTACAATTGTATGCTAGGTCTGCCTGAAGTGCAGTCCTTCCTCTTACTATGAGCATCCATGGAACTAGAATGGTGCTTGCTCTCTAAGTAGCCTCCAGCCTACAGAATGTGCAAACTGCTTTTTGAGTCATAGCTTATAATCCAAAGTAAGTTTGTAGCTAATTATTATAAAATTTTCTTAACCTCCCATGTGTTTTTTCTAGTTTATTTGACATATAAGAAATGTTATGGGAAAAACCGTCAGGAATTTTCCGAGAGCAAAAGCAATGAAACAGTCTCCGAGTCATCGCTCTATAAGGTGAATGAAGGATTTCAAGCACATGAAAAGTAGACACCATATGGACAAAAAAGAAGAATTCTAAAGAACTATAACAATATTTTAAAATATTTGTTTCGCTGGGACATTTGGCAAGAAAAAAAGTGAAAATTTTAATTTCAACTGAATCTATATATTTATTGGTTTGGGTACCAAGTAACTGGTGGTCCAAATCTTTAATGTGACAAATATTTATATGTAAATAAATATTTTGTGTCTTTGAAATATGCCAAAAACAATATCTTCAAACCTCGGCTAAACCTGATAACACTGAGAACCTCATAACTCCTGAACTGAATTCTTACCCAGAATCTCATAACTCAGAGATGAGCACCTGACTTTTTGTATGTTATAACAGATCCACCGAATTATTACTATGGTGATTAAGATTTTCTCCAGTATTTATGATTGTAAAAAGATTGAAATGAACATCTTCCACTGACATATTATTATTTTGAAAAATGTTGCAACCTATTTTTATAACTGTGCATTGTAACATGGGCAAATATCTCACTTCCTGTATTTAAAAATAAAGAGATTGTCACTTTTCTAAGTGACAATACAAAATCAAAAGTAAGAGAAATGAGTTACTAAATAGAATTCAGTAACCAAATTAGAATCATGACCATACTCATCAGTGATATTGTACACCCATTAGACATTTTCCTTAAAAATGGCTTGAATTTAGCAAAGTATTCTGTAAGCCCTGGAGAAGGACTTCTTCAAGGTTTGCCTGCATGAGGCAGGTCCACATTGGCTAATATGACAGCTATTTGATTTTACGAAGCTCCACAGTAGGCATCAGGGAGCGGGGAGGTGGCAAGATGCACAAAGACAGTAGAAATATTGGAAGAAACATCACCACTCCAGTGGGTAAATTCAATTCAATGGGAGATAATGGCTAATACATGGAAAAGCACAAATAACAGAAACCCATTTGAAGGCATAACTAGAGCCAAGTATATGTGCAGAAGGAAATAGCAATAAGAATAATGAAGTCGGTGGGCCATGGGGGAAGTGAGTACTAAACAGTATTTGAGAGAAAAAGAGGACATGCCCAAGGCCCAGAAGTAGGAAGGGCATTGCCCGGTGAGTACCTTGAATGCCGTGAGTGGTGTAACGTGAGGAAGCCAGGAGGATTTGCTCAAGGGCAGCAGGCTATTATGGCAAGAGGGAAACCCTGGCTGAATGTTGGGTTCTCAATTATAGTGTCTAATTTAATTTCCCTCATTCAGCAGCAAGATGCGGGCACATTCTTAACTCAGTTCTATTTTCCATTTAGACATTTTTTGCTGCCTCATTGACTCCCTTTCAAATGTTTTGGATCCAAAGGGCCTTTTGCATTTAGATACTGTGAGTTCAGATATGCTGGTGCACCTCAGTATTATAGGCACATGGATATTAACTCTTAATTTGCTTTTCAATGGGGGGGGGGGATTCTGCTTGGTAATCTTGTAATGTTTCTACCTTTTTATACAAGATGCACATTTCCAAATGAATAAGACCTGTATATTTTTCCATCATTAGACAATCTCAAGGGACTAGGAACTCTTATTAAAGGAGTAGAGGCCCGATGCATGAAATTTGTGCAAGAGTAGGCCTTCCTTCCCCTTGGCTGCCGGCACTGGCTTCCCTCTCGCACTCGGGACCCAGGCTTCCCTCACAGCCCTGGCTTCATCCGGAAGGTCTTCCGGAAGGATGTCTGGAAGGATGTCCAGTCTAATTAGCATATTGCGCTTTTATTATTATAGATAGTAAGGAAAAGGTGGTACAGATTTTCTTATAAGGGAGTATCAAAGAAGGTGCTTCCAAAAGTGCAAAAAGAAGACTTTCAGTCTATCTGTGAAGTACCTTCTACACTTCTCTCATCAAATAGACAACAGGCAGGTGCACTAAAGACACACTGTGAATTCATATCATAATTCCCACACACCCATAGTCCAGGGCCTGGATGCCAGCAGCTGCAGCAAGCAGGTTTTTCCTCCCTGTTGATCAAGATATGTGAGTGTGACAGAACTTGGCTTTCTTACATGATGTGGTGTCTTGAGTTGTGCTTTTTTTCCCTAATGTGCTGGAGGGAAGAAAAATAGCTGAGCTTTTTAAAATGACAGCTCTCTATTTTTAAATGACTTTGAAAAGCTGAATAAATTATGTATTTTATTGCCTCTGTGAGTATCATATTAAATGAATATTTTATTTGAAAGGATGAATAAATGAAAATAATTTTTGTAATGTTTGGTCTCTGAGTCTTTGTGACAACTGTCAAGATTTCTTCACTATTCTATCAATTCTAGAGATATAAATAAGGTAAAGTTTCTCAAATATTAAATTGTTCTTTGAAAAGTACCTAAAAGAAACTCTTAATTAAACACTCTAATAATTAGATATTCCGCTGATACAGATTGAGGTTGTCCCCCAAGAAAACCATACTAGAGGACCATTAATCAAAGACTTAAAAATGGAGTGATGAGGATAGCTGATTTAAAATAAAAGTATTATATGTACTTACAAATAAGACTACCAGCATCTCCTATTTAAAAAATGGAGAAAGAGAGAGCCCTAGCCAGTTTGGTTCAGTAGATAGAGCATTGAATGGTCCCAGGTTCAATTTCAGTCAAGGGTACGTACCTTGGTTGCAGGCTCCCAGCCCTGGTCGGGGGCATGCTGGAGGCAACCAATCGATGTATCTCTCTCACATCAGTGTTTCTCTCTGCCTCTCCCTTTCCCTTCCACTCTCTCTAAAAATAAATGGGAAAAATATCCTCGGGTGAGAATTTAAAAAAAAATGGAAAGAGGAGAGAAAGAGACGGAGACAGAGAGGAGAGAGAGAGAGAGAGAGAGAGAGAGAGAGAGAGAGAGAGAGAGAGACTTCAGTTACGGTGCCAGTACATTAAAATTTCTCATCAACAAGACTTGAAGAAATTCAGGTTATGAACCCCATTTGACTACTCAAAGACATCACTGTTTTCCATCTAAGAAACTCTCTCTTAAGAAAGGAATACCTTACTCTCACCATCCCTACTCTTACTATGGTTTATTGGTTCAGGATGGAAAGACTTTGCACAACAACTACAAGAACAATCAATAATACTGGTGATTAAGAAAAATGGACACATATGTAATACCCTTTGTAATACTTTAAGCAATAAAAAAAATAAAATAAAATAAAATAAAAAAAAATAAAATAAAATAAAAAACAAAAGAAAGGCTTCTTATCTTTCTTCATTGTATACATACTTCTTTAAGAAGTTCAAAATGAGGTATTTTAACTGTGTTGGAATATTTTGAATATAAAAATACCATAAAGTGGATGGGAATAAAGACAATTCTCCATTAACATGCTAGTAATTCCATCCTCAACTATTTACCCAAAAAATGTATCTTGAGTATATTACTCTTGCGCATAATCCTGTGGGCACCAACAAAGGAGTATTGGTTTGAAACATTGAAAGAGCACAATTTTTTTTTTTTAATCAAAGGATTGACAAACTTGTGTCAAATGTCTAAACTTTGCTTATCTTAGAATTGGAATTCAGATGTGAGGGGACTGACATAGTGACACATATTGATGTATTGTTTAGAATAGAAAAACGAAGTCAGATTTTTTTTCCCTGACAGAAAATTTGATTTTAATCCTCACCTGAGGATACTTTTCTTGATTTTTTTAGAGAGAGTGGAAGAGAGAGGGAAAGACAGAGAGAAATATTGATGTGGGAGAAGCACATTGATTGGATGCCTCCTGCATGAGCTCTGACCAGGGCCCAGGCCAGGGAGGAGCCTGCAACCAAGGTACATGCCACTGACCGGAACTGAACCTGGGACCCTTCGATCTGCAGGCCGACTCTCTACCCACTGAGCCAAATGGCTAGGGCCAGAAAATCTGATTTGACTGATTAGTTTGAAAGGGCCTTTGCTGGGCGAGTTAGGAAGTATGAAGGTCATGCTCCATAAATTAGATGAGCTAAATCTGCAGCTCCAGGTTTCTTTTAAATATGTGAAAATATCAAAATCACATTATAAAAATAATTGATCTAGAATATATAACAATCCAATAAGAAGGTAATAAGAAGGTAAGTAACTCAATTTTTTAAATGAGCAAAAAAAACTTTGAACAAACTTCAGCAAAAAAAAATGGCTACTGAAGCAAATTAAGCACATGGCAATGGCAAATAAATATATGAAAATATGCTCAACACTATCAATAGTTAGATAAGTGCAAGTTAAAACTACAATGTATACCACTGCATGCCTAATAAAATAGCTAAAATGACAAAATTACTGCCGTTAGCAAGTATTGCTGAGGCTATCAACTTGTACCTCATAGATTACTGGTAGTACAGCTACTTTCAAAAAAGTTTGATATTTCTTATAAAGTTAAACACACACTAATCATATAACTTAATAATTTCATTCCTAGGTATTTACTCAGCTACCAGAAATAAAACATAGTAACAGAAAGGTCAGGGGCCAGAAATCTACAGAAGGAATTAACTGCAACAGGCATGAGAAAACATTTTGGGGGTGATGGAAGTGTTCTATAACATGATTTTGGTGGTGGTTACACAACTTTAAGCATTTGTCAAAATACATAAAACTATGAGCTTAAAATTGCTGAATTATATTGAATGTATATTATACTGTTAATAAAGCTGATTTAAAATTTTATTGGTCAAGGAGCAGCAAGAAAATTTATTCCATTTTTCCCAATCCTCTCTGAGAATATTGAGTTAAAGTGAAAGAGTTACAGGCTCTAAGAGCTAGTTGATAAGTCTAATAAAGCCTTTTATAGTATACATCCTAGAAAATGAATCTATATAGTTCAAGTTTCAGAAACATTTTTAAAAATAGGTATTTCCAATTTTTTGTTTTCAAAAAAAGCTGAAAGAGGTTCCCATCAAGTTGCCAACTCTTGCATTAAAAAGTTTTAAGATAGCCCTAACCGGCTTGGCTCAGTGGATAGAGCATCGGCCTGCAGACTCAAGGGCCCCAGGTTCGATTCCGATCAAGGGCATGTACCTTGGTTGCGGGCACATCCCCAGTAGGAAGTGTGCAGAAGAAAGCTGATCGATGTTTCTTGCTCATCAATGTTTCTAACTCTCTATCCCTCTCCCTTCCTCTCTGTAAAAAATCAATAAAATATATTTAAAAAAAAAAGTTTTAAGATACCTCTGGCCAGGTGGCTCAGTTGGTTGGAGTGTCTTTCTGTACACCAAAAAGGTTGTTTCTCTCTCACCTCTCTCTCTCTCTCTCTCTCTCTCCCTTCCTCTCTCTCTAAAATCAATAAACATATCCTTGGGTGGGGATTAAAAAATGTTTTAAGATAGGCCACTGATAAAAAGTTCATAAGCACAGAAGTTGCATATATAGGGAATGGATTTTTTTATTTCCAAATAGTTACTGCCAAGCTATGTGTTGGAATATTTCACTCTGTACACAGCACAATTATAATTTTATTAATTCTCTCCAGACCATATATATCTTTAAAGGATAATTACACTATTCATTTGCTGTAATGGAAATGAAGTCTGCCAAACAGTGATCAGGAGACACTAAAAGGACAGAAATAAGAATTAAAATTATATAATTCTAATGTGCAGGAATAGTTTTTAAAGTTTTCAAATACACTTTTTTTATATTGGGTTTCCAACTACACGAAAAGTCATCAGTAAGACTATTCTTTGAATATTGAGTAAATATGCATCAGGTGTGATTTTAAGCTCTCATTATTAACTCAGCCTTACAGAGCAAACCTATTAGCAGTGAGCTTATCAAGTAAATCTAGACTAAGTTCTTAGGAATGTGCTTAAATGTTATATTTATTCATTAGATCTCACTAGAATCCCGAAGTAATATGTTTATTATGCCAGGAATTCTTAATGGACTGTGTCAGTGATCTCCAAAGTACTTAGGTGATATAATATGATTAATTTTATAAGCCAAGTGCTAATTCCATGACATAAAGGGCCATGAATGAATCACCAACATTATAAAGAGTTTTGCTACATTTGGTCTCTAAACTCCCCATACATTGTCTTCCCACACTTCCAGCCCACACCTCTGTGTTCACAACTAGAAACTTGATCTTTCTTTTTCATTTGAGCTTCTACTGTTGAACCTGAGAAATTTCCTCAAACCAAACACTGATGCCTCCCCCTAGCCATTAGACAAGGTCCTCTGCTTGAGCTGCTCCTAAATCCAATTTCCCATCAGAAAATCCTCCATCTACTTAGAGCCTGAGGAGGTGAGGAGAAAATCAGATGTCCAGCATTTAATTGATATCTCTAAAGGAATCATTTTGTCTCACATAACACATACCACATTGACTGAGAGACTGAAAATTATTTAATTTTCAGATTTGGTTATCTCATTCTCTGCTCCCACAGTTTTTATTATCCTCACTGTCATCTGGCACTTCCTGAAGACTTGTTTGGTTAGTTTTCTTTCTCTTTCTCCAACCCTTATATAGTTAAGGTATGAGGAATATCCTATCTAATAATAGAGAAACATGGTAATTAACCATAACTTCGCTACCCTTCCCATTGGCTAATCAGGGCAATATGCAAATTAACTGCCAACCAAGATGGCAGCCAGCAGCCAGGCAGCTGAAGCGAACAGGAGGCTTGCTTGCTCCAGTGATGGAGGAAGCCAAGGTTCACTGCCGG